GTCTATTCAAATTTTTTGCCTGATTTTCAATTGTGCCCTTTGTTTTCTTATGAATAAGTTTTGAGGGTTCTTTATATATTCTTTGTATTTCTAAATTTAAGTTTTTATCAGACATATGATTAGAAAATATTTCTCCCCATTCTGTAGCTTGTCTTACCTTTCATTTTCTTTTTCTTTTCTTTTTTTTTTTTTTTTTTTTGAGACAGAGTCTCAAGCTGTCACCCTGGGTAGAGTGCTTTGGCATCACAGCTCAGAGCAACCTCAAACTCTTAGACTTAAATGATTGATTCTCTTGCCTCAGCCTCCCAAGTAACTGGGACTACAGGCACCGACCAGAACACCCAGCTATTTTTTGGTTTGTAGTTGTCCTTGTTGTTTGGCGGGCCCAGACTGGATTCGAACCTGCCCACTCCAGTGTATGTGGCTAGTGCCCTAGCTGCTGAGCTACAGGTGCCAAGCCATCTTTTCATTCTCTTAAGGCTCTTTAGCTTTACTAGGGGTCAGGGACAGCTACATAGTTTGCGGGGCCCAGTGTAAAATGAAAATGTGGACTCTCTTGTTTGAAAATTTTTAAAAATGGTAAAATGACAACAGCAGAGCATGAAAACATGAGTTGGGACCTTCTAAGCCCAGGGCCCCTCCTGACTGTTCATCCATCCTGGAAGCTGGCCCCACAGTTTCCTGACTATGAGGAACCTCAGACAGACTGTGACACAGTGATCAGCCTCAGTTCTGAACTTCAGGTGTCATTCCACCTTACTGACCCAAACTACAAAATTCCTAGTTTCCTGGTTGGCTCAGGTGATACAAACTGTGTGCACAGGTGTGGGCACTCACATGGGTATCAGATACATGTAAACTGTGTGTACAGGTGTGCACAGTCACATGGGTATCAGATATATGTGTATGGACATATATGGACTGTGTCTCTGCGTATCTATTCCTGACATAAATGTATGTGCATGTATATATATGACATTTATGGATGAGTGTATTTCAAGAACCAAAATTTCGTAACAATATCTGCTTAATGAATACCCTGCTTTGCTAGTCTCCATCCCCAATCCTATTTCCCTAAATAATTTTAAAAATTGAAATCCCGATTGAATACTCAATTTAGGTAGGTACCATCTCTCAATTGCCATCTGAAACCTGAATAGGGCAAGTTATTTCTCTTTAACGTTTCTGAAATTAGAGCATAAATTTAAATGGTTTTAAGTTATAGTTAAATGACAAGATCTCCCAACTCTCCTGAGAAAGATCGGTCTACCCCTTTTATCCCACTCAAGAGCATCCCGGTTTGGATGACACTTTAGATCACCTTGAGATAAACCAAAGGTATTCAGAATATACCTGCTTTTATTTAAGAAAAAATAAGATGCTATAGAACTAATAATAAAAGACCTTTAGGCTGGGCATGGTGGCTCAGACCTGTAATCTTAGCACTCTGGGAGACTAAGGCAGGAGGATTACTTGAGCTCAGGAGTTTAAGACCAACATAAGCAGGAGCAAGACTCCATCTCTACTAAAAATAGAAAATTTAGCTGGACATTGTGCTTGTAGTCCCAGCTATTTGGGAAGCTGGGGCAGGAGGATCACTTGAACCCAGGAGTTTGATGTTGCTGTGAGCTAGGCACTAGGAACAGGCACTGTAGCCTATAGAGTTAGACTCTGTTTCAAATAAAAAAAAAAAAAATTCTCTTGCCTCAGCCTCCCAAGTAGTGGGGACCACAGGCGCCCACCATAACACCTGGCTATTTTTATTGCAGTTGTACATTGTTGTTTAGCTGTCCCAGACCGGGTTCAAACCCACCAGGCTCAGTGTATGTGGCCAGCAGGGTAACCACTGTGCTACCGGCGTCAAGCCAATAAAAGCTATTTAAAGTAGAACACACTTTTCCAAAGTGTTTAGCTTTTTTGCTTTTAAACAAAAGTGTAATACTTGCACATTAAATGAAATTGGGAAAATTGAGACCATAAAAGTACAGCCTGGCCAGGCACTATTGCTCACACCTGTAAATTCATGAATTTGGGAGGCTGAAGCAGGAAGATCACTTGAGCCAGGAGTTCAAGATTACAGTAATCTATGATATCCCAATTTCACTCCAGGCTAGGCTACATATTAAAACCCTGTCTCTACAGAAAATAAGAGTGCGACCCACAAACCCAATAATTAAATAACAGGCACTATTAGTATTTTGATAAATTTCTATATAGTTAACTTTTTCTATGGGCAGATTATTAAAAATGTAGTTAGAATATAAATTCTTTCCTACATTTTCCCACATTATCACTTAATCATAATAACTAGTGTTTTAAGTTCTCCTCTCATAGATTTGGAATAGGAAAGGTCAAAGAAAACCATACCAGATTCCAGTGTCAGCCTTCCCAGAGGCTGGCTGAGGCATTCAGCAAGCTTCTCAACTTTCTGGGTTCAGTTTTCATCTGTCCAATAAGTACAACGAAAAACAATAATGAGAAAAGTAAAGAGCAGTAACATAGTAGTAATATGAATGGTAATAATATTAGCTATTACTTGTTAAGTCCCTGGCAAGCTTGTAGTATTCCAAAAGCATCATTCATGGTGCTAAGCTTTTACAAAACATACATTCACTCAAGAATAGTCCACAGGATCTTGCAGGGGAACAAGAAAGGTAGAGGTCTTTTCCCCCTTGGCTTAAGCTAAGAGTGAAGGGAAGTCTTAGATTAATATGTATCAATGTTTATTTTAAATCTGTAGTAATTATTATTTTTTTTAGAGCAGAGTCTCACTTTGTCACCCTCAAGTGCTGTGGCATCACAGCTCACAGCAACCTCCAGCTCTTGGGCTTAGGAGATTCCCTTACCTCAGTCTCCTGAGTAGCTGAGACTACAGGAGCTTGCCGCAATGCTAGGCTATTTTTTTTTTGGTGCAGTTTGGCCAGGGCAGGGTATATGGTATACCACCACCCTCAGTATATGGGGCCAGTGCCCTACTCACTGAGCCACAGGTGCTGCCCAAATCTGTAATAATTAAGATGGCATAGCACTGGTGCAATGATAGACTAGCTAAACAGCAGGAGAGCATATGGAATATAAAACAGACACAAAATAATAGTCACCTGATTGATGATCAAGGTAATTCTGCAGTGCAATGGGGAAAGAATGGTCTTTTCGACATATGCTGCTTGGTTAACTATACAGGAAGAATGTACCTTGACTCCTATTTGACATCTCACACCAAACTCAATTACAGTTTAATTACAGATCTAAATGTGAAAGGCAAAATGATGGTGACTATAAGGTAAAACACAGCAAAATATCTGTATGACACTGGAGTAAAGATTTCTTAAATAGTATGCAAGAAGTATAAATTGTAAAAAAGGAAAGATGATAAATTAGACGTCATTAAAATTTCTTGGCTCAGCACCCATAGCCCAGTGAGCTAGCCAGACACATACACTGAGGCTGGAGGGTTCGAACCTGACCTGGGCCTGCTAAACGACAATGACAATTGCAACCAAAGGATACCCCAGCATTGTGGTGGGTGCCTGTAGTCCCAGCTACTCACTACTTGGGACACTGAATCACTTAAGCCAAAGAATTTGAGGTGGCTATGAGCTGTGACACCATGGCACTCTACCACGGGTGACATAATGAGATTCTGTCTCAAAAAAAATAAAAAAATTTCTTAATTTGTTCACCAAAATAGATCATTTTGGAGAGAAAAAAGACAACTGTAGAAAGAGACAAAAATAACTGACATTCATAACATCTGACAGAGTCTTCGTACCTGGAGTATATGAATAACTCAGGAAAATTGACAAGAAAAAGACAATTCCAATAGACAAATGAGAAAAAAAGTTGAACAATTCACAAGAGAGAACATTCAAATTGTCACTAACCATTTGAAAAGTTGTTCAGTTTCAGTAGTCATTAGGAAAATGGAAGTAAAAGTACGATATGATAGCACTTGCCTGCAGACAAAGACAAAGTTCCAAGTGCTGATGAGATTACAGGGCAACCATGACTCTACCATGGGTGACCTCTCATGGGGGGTTATAAATTGGGACCACCACTTCGAAAAACCATTTGGCAGAATGTAATAAAACGGAGCATATATGCATGTATACCTATGGCTTTCTTAGGTATACAACAGGTAAAATTGTGTACACATGTTCAGCAAATAAACACGTGCAGCAATCCATGCATAATAGGGGGGAAAGGCCTGAAAACTGTTTAGATGTCAGTCAGGAAGAGATGGATAAAGTGTAGGATATTTACACAGGGCAATGCTGTGCGGCACTAAAAATAAATGATCGCAGCTATTATGACAAAATAGATGAATCTCAAAAACATAAAATACCCAGACACAGAAGAAAGTATACTGTATAATCTTGTTGGTCTAAAATAGAAAAAAAAAATCATAGTGGTGGTTGCCCTTGGTGTGGGTGAATGGGAAGAGGAAGTGGAAAAGAGTATGAGGAAGGACGGCTTCTGGCAGCGATGGTTTACTTGCCCTGAGGTCTATGACGTGGGCGCAGTCAGTTTGCGAGGATGCCCTACAGCCTTACAGTATGTGTGCCTTTCCATACGCTCATGATCATTGCCAAAAAGTTAAAAATATTTGTTACCTTGAAATTGTATTCAGCCTATCAAGTAATATTTCTATTTTAGAGATGAGAAAAAGGAGATAGTGAGTTTAAGTTACTTACTTGTTACAATAGCCATGAAGCTCGTACGTGGCTCAAATTCAATAGTTTTTTGGTTCCTTTCCAGTTCTAAAATTCTATGATATTTATGAAACCACTGATTTGGAATGTAAGTAACTTTCTGTCTCTCTTTTTTATTCTAATTTCTTATTGGTCTCCTTAGTCTATTAAAAGTCTCCAAATTTCTGTATCCAAGAGTGAGATTCTTTAATATTTAAAATAAGGTGCAACAAGAAGTTTTCCTGAGTATTGCAGAGGCTGTTACTTCTACTAATCTCGCATTTATTTTCTATCCGTTTTGTCCTGTAGGCCAGCAAAGGCCGGACGACAATCGTGGTGGCACATCGCCTTTCCACGATTAGGAACGCAGATCTGATCGTGACCATAAAGGACGGGGCTGTGGCGGAGAAAGGAACGCACGCTGAGCTAATGGCAAAGCAAGGTCTATATTATTCACTTGCGCTGTCCCAGGTAAGGAAACCCCACAGCACAACATTATCTCAGTGGGTTGTTGTAAAGTTGTCAGAGATCATACCACACTAGAAAACACAAGTCCTAAATCATGATCTTGAATTTCACAATACGGCCAGGGTTCATTTATCATTTCTCAGTGAAGAAACCGAGTGTGACTCACATCTTCACCATTGTGCTAGATAACATGGTGAAGATTAGAGAGCAGATGGATACATGTCCCTAACATTTGCCAGGCGCACTACAAAGAGGCTCCCAAGCTTGTGTATGGCAGATCTGGGACAGCCTAACACCTGCGATCTTTTGATTGGAGCACAAGAAATGTCACACACAGTCCCTACTTAAAGATTTAAAAATTAGCAATAGGGCAGTGCCCATTGCTCAGTGGGTAGGGTGCTGGCCACATACACCAAGGCTGGCAGGTTCAAATCCAGTCCGGGCTAGCTAAACAACAATGACAACTACAATGAAAAAATAGCCAGTTGTTGTAGGGGGCACCTGTAGTCCCAGCTACTCAGGAGGCTGAGGCAAAAGAATCACTTAAGAGAGTTTGAGGTTGCTGTGAGCTGTGATGCCACAGCACTCTACCGAGGGAGTCTTCAAGTTGGAATAAGCAGCAAGATTAATGGGGAGGGAGAGCGCTCAATTGCCCATGGAGGGTTTCGTGGAAGAGGGCTTCAAGGTTAAAGGTTGGAATTGGAGGCAGACGTGGAGGAGAAACCCAGGTCAACTGTCAATGAATGGGTAGGAAGGAAGTTAGTCTGCAGCTAAAACAGAAAGGAGGGCAGCTTTCCATGGGTAAAGATGAGCATTAGATAACAGGGTGGTATTGTGGAAGCTCTTGGAAGCCAGGCAGAAGGTTGAGCTACTGTGTAAGAAACACCCAACAGAGTGCCTGGCACACAGTATATACTCAATAAACACCTGCTGAATTAAGAGATACATCAGGGCTGCACCTGTGGCTCAGTGGGTAGGGCGCTGGCCCCATATACTGAGGATGGAGGGTTTGAACCCAGCCTCGACCAGCAGAACAACAATGACAACAGCAACAACAACAACAAAAAAGCCAGCATTGTGGCAGGCACCTGTAATCCCAGCTACTCCGGACGCTGAGGCAAGAGAATCACTTAAGCCCAAGAGTTGGAGGTTGCTGTGAGCTGTGATGCCATAGCACTTTACTGAGGGCAACAAAGTAAGACTCCATCACAAAGAAAAAAAATAGATACAATTGTCCATACCAGTGTGCATACCACAGCCTCACAGGTGGAACAGAAAGCTCATATAGAGCAGTCGGGAGGGGATGTGGCAATGCTGGACGCACATGGCAAAGTCTCCATCTTTAGGCTCCAGGCTTCTGCATGCCATGAGATCCACCCTACGGGAATCCACATCACTTTCTCATTAGGATACTTTAGCACAAGGAAGATTAATACAATCAGTCTCTAGCACTCTTCATTCTAGGCCACCTTTCTTCCCTTGACCTGGAATTCAGCTTCTTTCCTTTCTTTCTACAGATAACTAATTTCAACCCTTTTCTATTTATTTACTTCTTCAACTTTCTGATTGTATCTTTAATGTCAATATTAGTAATTTAAAAATTCGGAAATTTAGAAAGTTATGAGCCTTTACCTTCTCATCAAATTTATAACTTCAAACTCAAATCCGAGCTTTCTCCACTGTGCTAAATGAGTTATTTCTAAACACACTCTATGAAGCAATGATTGTTAAAATAAAAAAAGAGTTTGAAAATGCAATATTGATTTAAAATGTCCTGACTTTCACTTTTTTCAAATTAGTTCCTATTTTTTGTTTTCTTTAAAAATAAAAGTAAGCCTTGACAATTGAATTTGCGTGCTTTTCGTCCCACAATAAAGTAAATAATTCATGAAGTTATTAAGTTCAATATTTTCAAACTAATATAAGTAACAATAAAAAGAAATACCATAGTTGAATTAACCCTATTTTGAGATTCGAGATTTTTTTTTAAAAACTATGACACTCAAATCACTTTGGAGTGACATACTTTTGTTTTTTATTATAATTAAAATTAAAAAATCTATTATTAGGTCTTAGAGGGTTTCATGATGTAGGAAAAACAAAAATGGTGTGTTTGTGGTATAGATGTATAAAAATTTTAAACACCCAGCTGGGTGCCCCTAGCTCAGTGGTTAGGGCACCAGCCACATGCTCTGGGGCTGGCGGTTTGAACCCACCTTAGGCCTGCTAATCAAACAAACAAACAAACAAATAGCTGGGCGTTGTGGTGGGCACCTATAGTCCCAGCTACTTGGGAGGCTGAGGCAAGAGAATCGCTTAAGCCCAAGAGTTTGAAGTTGCTGTGAGCTATGGTGCTATAGCACTCTACCAAGGGTGACAAAGTAAAAACTCTCTCAATAAAAATAAATAAATAAATAAAAATAAAGAATTAAAAAAAAAATTTTTAACACCTTATTCAAAATGGATTACCTAAAACTGTGTCCATTTGAATATAACAACACCGTGTAAATATTAATATTTAACAAATAGCCAAAATATTCTGGGCATTGTACAGTAAACCTAATATACATAATATCTGTGTAAACAAGTAACACATTTTTTTTTTTAGACAGAGTCTCACTATGTTGCCCAAGCTCACACTCTTGGGCTTAAGTGCTTCTCTTGCTTCAGCCTCCCAATTAGCTGGGACTACAGGCACCTGCCACAATGGCCGGCTTTTTTTTTTTTTTGCAGTTGTCCCTGTTTAGCAGGCTCAGGCCGCGTTCAAACCCACCAGCCCCAGTGTATGTGGCAGGCGCCCTAACCACTGTACTACGGGCACTGAGCCAAGTAACTCCGTTTTGAAACTCTGTGCATACTTATTTGCCCCTATTTCCTGCGCTGTCTAAATGCATCAGTATATAAAGCACGCATGATGATCAGAAATATTCAGCAGTTAATGCTGCTGGAGGAATCCTGAGAAACAGCATAGCAGAGTGGTTAAGGTTATGACCGCTGGAGCCCTGCAAGTTGACTGTGTCACTCAATCATTTTAGGACCTTGGGCAAGTCATTGAAATTCTCAAGTGCTTCACTTCCCTAATATCTAACACCAGAGAAAAAAACAGCAACGTCTTCAATGATTTCCTATGTGAAATACCAATAAGTAAAGATATTTGTATACATAACAAAAGTTATTTTATGGTCATCACTATTTTTTCTTGTAGCCTTCTCAGGAAAAATTGTCTTTGAACTAGTAAAGTATATTCTTGAAAAAATTCATTATGAGAAGAGGTCAATGTTTTATCTTAAATTTGTCACGGCTCGGCACCTGTGGCTCAAGTGGCTAAGGCGCCAGCCACATACACCTAAGGTGGCGGGTTCGAATCCCCAGCCTGGGCCCGCCAAACAACAATAATGGCTGCAACCAAAAAATGGCCAGGTGTTGTGGCGGGCGCCTGTGGTCCCAGCTACTTGGGAGGCTGAGGCAGGAGACTCGCTTGAGCCCAGGAGTTGGAGGTTGCTGTGAGCGTGATGCCATGGCACTCTACCCAGGGGGATAGCTTGAGGCTCTGTCTCAAAAAAAAAAAAAATTGTCACAAAGTAAATAACTCCTAAAAAATAAAAGCCAAATAAAAGATTTCTTTCATGATAGAGAAATTTATAGAAAAAAAATAAAGGAATAAAGGAATGTCTGACTAAAGATGACTTGACAGTTTAAGGATAGTTCAAGAAGTTCACCTGTACTTTTAAATGATTGGCAGTTGTTAAGCTTATTGATGAATCAGTACCCCTGGAAAGTCTTCCATGGGCACCTAAATCTACCTACATCTTTCCATCTCTTCTCCCCCGCCCTGGTCTGAACCATTATCATCCTAACTGAGCTCTTCATTTCTCTCTTGCTCTCCTCCTCCCGTGTCTTTCTGGGGAAGTCGTAACTTACTCAGATCACATTGCCATGAACAGAGAATATGTAGGTCCTTTATTTCAATAAGACCAGTCTCATTTTTCTGAGTAGGAAGAAAAATAAAAAGTAGACCTAGAGGAATTTGGTTTAGAACTTCTTCCTGTTCTGCAATTTAAACAATTTCTTTAAGGTTTGTTTGATTTCTTTGAAATTTCTTATTGTTCAGGAGCAGACCCTATGATTTTTGTTTTATGATCCCAGTTTGGGATGGGCAGAAGTGACAGGCCTGGGAAACATTATTGTTTCCTGAGATCTTTCTAGGGCCCATGGCCAGCCTCACATATAAGTTTAGTATAACATATACCTAGGCATACGATATAGATTTATAAGCTCTAGAAAAGGCTAGAAAGAAGTCAAAGAGCTCCTTTTACTGAGACCTGTCCTTATTAGTAGTATAATTATTTGGGGTTCCAGTTCCCTGAACAGATCTTTAGAAAAGAAGGCTCAATAAGCTATTGTCAGTCACTAACACTTCAGTCTAAGCTGGACTTAATTAGCTCTTTGTCAAGCCTCAAAACTGTTCTGCAAGAACTACACTTTAATAGCAAAGGCAATAACAGTTTTAAATGGATGCTTTATAAAGTTCCTTTGAATTGTTTAGACATTTTTATAATGATAGCCTGTGTATTCTTCATTTAAGGACATTAAAAAAGTGGATGAACAAATGGGGTCAGTGACAGATTCTACTGAAAGCAATCCCAGCTCCACTCCTCTGTGCTCTATGAATAGTGTCAAATCAGACTTCATTGACAAGTCTGAAGAATCCATCTGTAAAGAGGTAATGGGTCAAATATCAAGTTTATCCCACATATTCTTCAATTTTTATTTAATCCTTACAAAATTTAGAATGTGTTTGCCATAAAATATTATGATAGCATCAAGTTTCTAAAATTCCCGCTAGCATGACTGTGACACTCTAAGAAAGAAGCCATCTAATGAGACTGCATTTATGTCAGAAGTCCTTCCTTGTTGGGACAAAAAAATCTCATAAGAATGTTACCTTATTCTCTTTTCTAAGACAAACCATGGGTTCAACTTGGCAAGTATGGTAGAGAGACCACCCACCGATGATGCTCAAGATTACTTGAAGTCACAACAGAGCATAAATGCAGCCACTGCCCAGCTACAGATAAGCCCCAGCCAGCAGGCGGTCCAGGCCTCCAGGTCAGGGCACAGTCTGAGCAGCCTCCTTTGCTTGGGCAGGGAGTACTTGTTCCTGGGCTCGGTCTGCTCCGCTCCTGACCCCAGGCACTACTGAGCCCTACATCACCTGCTTTAACCTTCATTCCTGTTTATCCTCCTCTTCAGTCTCTTCTTATACCTTAAGTCTCATTTCTCCATCCCAATTCTGCCTCCCTTCTCTGAACAAGCCCCCACACCTGCTCTGAATCCTCTTCAGCACTCTTTCATATATCTTAATCTCGCCTTAACCCCTGCTTCTCCTAGGATCCCTGTTCCTGCACCCTAACTCTCTCCAACCCTAGTGAAGCTTTGCTGGCCCCCGATGCTGCTTTTCAATTGTAACCTTACACACCTTGAATCCTTGCCCCTGTGTTTCAGCTTCTGTCCCCCCAAACTTCCCATATCCACACCATCCTACTCCTATCCTTGGCCCGCTCTTTCCTCCCAAACTGGAGTTGGCAACCAAACAAAAATCACCAGACAAGGAAAAAAGCAGGAAAATAGTACTCAAATAAAGAGAAATAATAATCAAGAGAAATAGGCCTAGAAATGAAACACTCAATAGAATTAATAGAAACACTAAATGTTTATTATAACTATATTACATATGTTCCTATATCCCCAAGGCAAAGAAGAAAGTCAAAAAGCATTTGAAGAAATAATGGTTAAAAAATTTTTTTTGAATTTGATGGAGACTAAAAATCCACAAATACAAAGTTCAATAAATTCCAAGCACTAGAAACATGTGGAATCCTACAACAAGGGATATCATACTCAAATTGCTTACAACCATTGATAAGGAGAAAATTATTAGACCATTAAGAAAGAATTGCCACAATATGCACAGAGGAAAAAGATTTTTAAAAGCTACAACGTCCTTATTAGAAATAATGCAAACAAGAAAATGATGGAGCAATAGTTTCAAAGTAATGAAAAGTAAACAAACAAAAAACTTCAAATTAGAATGCTACCTATAGAAAAATGCTTTTCAAAAATGAATGCATGGCCAGGCATGGTGTCTCAAGCCTGTAATTCCAACATTTTGAGAGGCCAAGGTAGGATTATTACTCAACGCCAGGAATTTGAAACCAGCCTGGGAAACTTTGTAAGACCTTGTCTCTACTAAAACAATCTTTTAGTTACTCAGGTGTGGTGTTTTGTATCTACAGTCCTTGCTACTATAGGTGCAGGAAGATAGCTTGAGTCCAGGAATTCAAGGTTACACTGAGCTGTGACCACACCACTGTTCTAGCCTGGGCAACATAGCATAACTCTGTCTCTAAAATAATAAAAAGGCAAAATTTTGAATTTTTTTAGAAAGAAAGGCTAAAATAATTAATCACCACATGAAATTTCAAAGGAAATTCTTTAAACAAAGGAAAATGATACCAAGTAGAAATCTGAATTTATACAAAGGAATTAAGGGTATCAAAAGTAGTAAATGTATGAGTTAATGTAAAATAAGCTTTTATATATTATATTTACATTTTGATGTGTTTAAAGGATAACTTACTTTTCTTTTTTTTGAGACAGAAGTCTCACTTTGTCACCCTCGATACAGTGCTATGGCCTCATAGCTCACAAGAACCTCAAACTCTTGGACTCAGGTGATTCTCTTGCCTCAGCCTCTTGAGTGGCCTGGCTATTTTTAGAGATGAAGTCTTGCTCCGGCTCAGGCTGGTCTCAAACTTGTGAGCTCTGGCAATCCACTCGCCTTGGCCTCTCAGAGTGCTAGGATTACTAAAGGCATGAGCCACTGTGCCTGGCCTGATAATTTACTTTTCAAAAAATAACTCTGTAGTGTGGCGTTTTTAACACAAGTATGAGTAAAATGTATGAAAACAGTAGCCAAAACACTGGGAAATAGCACCAGTAAATATTATGTTCTAAAATTCTTAAATGGCATATGATATTACCTGAAGGAAGACTGTGAGGTTAAGGACAGTCAAACTAAATTTTAAAGCAAAGAACATTCCTAAGGATAATGAGAGTGTTTTTATAATTATGAAGGGATTGATTTATCAAGATCTGCCAAGAGAAGTAGACAAATCTGCAATTATTTTCAGAGATTTCAATATCCCTCTATTAAACACTGGTAGAATAGGCTGGGTTTGTGTCTCATGCTTATAATCCCAGAACTTGGGAGGCTGAGGTAGGTGGATTGTCCTGAGCTCATGGGTTTGAGACCAGCCTGAGCAAGAGTGAGACCCTGTCTCTCAAAAAAATAGCCAGGTGTTGTGTTAGTCACCTATAGTCCCAGCTACTCGGGAGGCTGAGGCAAGAGGATCGCTTAAGCCCAAGAGTTTGAGGTTGCTGTGAGCTATGACGCCATATTACTCTACTGTGGGCAACAAAGTGAGACTCTGTCTCAAAAAAAAAATAAAACATTGGTAGAATAAGTCGATAGAAATTCATCAGGGGTATAGATGACTTTAGTAGCATTATCAATCAAATTGACCTAATCAACATCTATAGAAGACTCCACATAGCAGCATAATATGCCTTCAATTGCTCCTGAAACCTTTCCCAAGATAGACCATATTCTGAACTATCCCACAAGTCTCAATAAACTTGAAAGAATTCAAGTTATATACAAAGTATATTACCCAATCAAAACAGAATTAAATTAGAAATCAATACCAAAAAGTGGTCTGGGAAATATTTAGAAACTAAATAATTCACTTCTAAATGCACAGATCAAAGAAAAAAATCAAAAGAAAACACCAAAAGTATTTTGAACTATATGAAATTGAAAACTTAACATATCAAAATGTATGAGATGAAGTTTAAAGTGGTACTGAGAAAGAAATTTATACCACTAAACATAAAAATCTCAAATTAATAGACTAAGTTTCTGCCCTCAGAAACCAGAAGGAAGAAAATAACAAGAAAGAGGAAAAAAAAATCAATGAATTCCAAAGCTGATTCTTTGAGAACATCAGTGTTAAAAAGCTCTGAAATTACTGAGCACAAAAAGAGAGAAGATGCAAATTGCTAGTATTAAGAGTAGGAGAACTCGCATCACTACAGATTCTACATATGTTAAAAGAATAATAAAATAATCTTATGAACATTTATGCAAAAAAAAAAAATCCTGACAACTCAAATAAAATAGAAAAATTTTTGAAGGACACAATCTACCAAAGCCCACTCTAGAATAAATTGACAGCTTGAATAATTTTATGTCATTAAAAAGAAATTGAATTTGTTATTAAAACTTTTTCCATAAAGATAACTCCAGGCCCAAGTGCCTTTGCTGGTAAATTCTTTCAAATAGAAAATTGAAGAGGAAAGAGTCCTCATTCTATGAAAATAGAATTACTTTGATATCAGTATTAGACATGACAAGAAAAGAAATTATAGACTAATACACCCCATAAACATAGATGAAAAAACTCTTAATAAAATTTAACAAATCTAATCCAATAGCATATAGAAAAATAATATGTCACAACCAAGTAGAATTTTTCTAAGAATTGCAAGATTGGTTTACCATTCTGAAATTAATGTAATTTTTCATGTTAAAAAAACTAAAAAGGACAATCTAATCATCTCCACCCGGGAACATGGGATCATGCCTATAACCCCAACACCTTAGGAGACCAAGGCAAGTGGATTGCTTGAGCTCAGGAGTTCAAGACCAGCCCGAGAAAGAGTGAGAGTCTGTCTGTACTAAAAATAGAAAAAACTAGCTGGGCATTCATTGTATTGTGATGAGTAGTCTGAGGCAAGAGAATCACTTGAGCCCAAGAGTTTGAAGTTGCTGTGAGCTATGACTCCAGAGCACTCCACAAAACGTGGCTCACGCCTGTAATCCTAACACTCAGAGAAGTTGGGGATGGGCAGATTGCTTGAGCTCATGAGTTCAAGACTAGCATCAACAAACAAGTGAGACCCCATATCTACTAAAAGTAGAAAAAGTGAGGCAAGAGAGTCGCTTGAGCCCAAGAGTTTGAGTTTGCTGTGAGCTATGATGCCACAGCTCTCTATGGCATCAAAAAAAAAAAAAAAACATCTCAATCAATGCAGAAAATTCATTGACAAAAGATACCATCTGTTCTTGAAAACTCTCATCAAAGAAGGGATTGGAAGAAATTTTCTCAACCTGATGAAGAGCAACTACAAAAACCCTACAGCTAACATCATACTAAATGGTGAAAAGCTCAGATCAGGAATAAGGTAAGAATGTACACTCTCTCCACTTCTATGAACATTTTATTGAAGGTTCTAGAGTGTATGGAGGAAAGGAACAGTCAGACTGTGTTTATTCGTAGATGGCATGATCATCTCTGCAAACAATCCTGTGGAATCCAAAACTAATTATTAAGTTTAGCAAGTGGCAAAGCACACAATAAAATATATTAAAATCAAATCTAAGTCTGTATAATGAAAATGAAAAATGGAAAAATGGTATTTTAAAAATGATGTCATATACAATAGTTAAAAATATTAAATACTTTGGAGACAGATTTAATAAAAGATTCTAAGACCCACACACTGAAATCTATAAAATATTCCTGAGACAAAAATTTAAAAGAGACTAAATAAATGAAGAAATACCATGTGAGTGAATCTGAAGACATCAATGAAAAGATGTCATTTCTCCCCAAATTGACCTGTGGATTCACAGAAATCTCAATCAACATCTCAACAGGCTTTTTTGGAGAATTTGACAAGCTGATTCTAAATTCATATGGACAAGCAAAAAGCCAAAATAAATTTTAAAAAGAACAAACTTGGAAGACTTATGCTACCTGATTTCAATCCTATTTTAATTACTATAAAGCTAATTACTAATTCTGATTTCAAAATACTCAAAACATTCTATTTTCATAAAAATAAACAAGAATCAGTGAAACAGAAAAGGGAATTGAGAAGCAGATCCACACAGATATGGTCAACTGCATTTCAACAAAACTACAAAGGAAGTTCAATTAAGAATTTACACTTTAAAAAGTATTCTTTTTTCAAAAAATGACGCTGGCTCGATTAGGTCTCTCCAGACAAAATACTCAAGGTCAATCCATACCTCAAATCGCAGATGAAAAGTGACTCAAAATGAATTACATGCTTCATTGTAAAACATAAAATTATAAAATTTCTACACAGAAATCCAATAGAAAGTCTTTTGAGTTATGCAAAGTTTTCCTAGACACCAAAGATATAATTCATAAATGAGAAAAAACTGATGAATCAGACATTACCAAGCTCAACAACTCTATTATTTTAAGACTCTAACACTTTTAAGAAAATGAAAAGGATAGGCCATAAACTGAAAGAAAATATCTGTAAATCACATCTCTGACAAAGGGCTTGTGTCCAGAAGATGTAAGTGGAACTCTCAAAGCCCACTAAGAAGAATACAAACAGCTCAATCGAAAAATAGGCCAGATAGTGGAGTAGGCATTTCTCCGTAGAAGGTGAGCAGGTTGGAAATAAGCACACAAAAGAAAGCCCCACATCCTCAGTCATTAGAGAAAGGTGAAAGCAAATCCAGTGGGGATAGAAGAGGCTAAAACTACTTTGGAGAATCACGTGTCAATTCTTAGAAAAGTAAATGTACACCCAGTATATGATCCAGCCATTTTATTTCTAGATATTTTCCCAAGAGAAATGACAGCACATGTGTACACAGTCTTGTATGTGAATGTCCACAGTGGCTTTATGTGTAACAGCCCCAAAGTGGAGAGCACCCACATTGATACCACGGTAAATAAACTGTGATCCAGCCGTACAGGGGAATACTACTCAGCCATAAAAAGGAACAAAATGCGGATTCATACAGCAGCGTGGACACATCTCAAAAGAATTATGTTGAGCAAAAGGAAGTTAGATGAAAAAGAGCACATGATGTGTGATGTCATTTACATACAATTCTACAAATACAAACTAATCTATATAGACAGAAAATGGCAATAATTGCAGGGAGGGGAGGCAGGGAAGAAGACTGGCAGCTGAGCAGTGCAGGTGAGGGATTATAAAAAGCAGAAGAAAACTTCCAGAGGAACAAGTATGGTCCAGACCTTGACTACAGTGATGCTTTTATAGCATATAGTTATGCACACACTTATCAAATCCCACAGTTTCCACTTTGTTATTTGAAAATTATCACTCAGTAAAACTCTAAAATGCATCATATGAAACTTAAAATTCCTTAGGAAATGTCATTTTTGACCTTTTACAAATTCTTTTGTATCTCTTTGGAAAATGTCTCGAATTTCATATTTTTAATCACATTATCTTAAAGCAAATATAGCCTGTAACATATTTAGGTAGCATAGTACATTTCATGATTTCACTGATATTTTTAATTTTCTCTGTATTTTATTCTTTTCTAACTTGATAATACATTGTAAATCAGATCGTATTTGAATCTGCAATTATGTATTTTGCTGGAGGCAAAAGACATTCTTAAATGGCCTATGTAATATACATTATCTTATAGAAGCAAAATATCACCCACATTGTCTGGCTCTGAAATGTATTGGCATCCTAGACAAGCTAAACCTTAGTTTTATAACAAAATAAAGTAATTTTGTAAAGCACTTAGCTCCATACTCAGTGCTAAAAAAACAGTAGATATACAAGTTCTATAAAGAGAGTTGGTGTACAACTTTCTGTATATTCTTTTGGACAGTGATCTAATTGAAAGGTGATGCCTTTTAATTTTGTTTTTTTTTTTTTTTGAGACAGAGTCTCACTTTGCAACCCTCTGTAGAGTGCTTTGACATCACAGCTCACAGCAAACTCAAACTCCTGGGTTTAAGTGATTCTCTTGCCTCAGCCTCCCAAGTAGCTGGACTACAGGCACCTGCCACAACACCCAGCTATTCTTAAAACCAAAGTCTTGTTCTGGCTCAGGCTGGTCTCGAACATGTAAGCTCAGGTGATCCACCCGCCTCAGCCTCCCAAGTGTTGGGATTACGGCGTGTGCCACCACGCCTGCCTTTTAAGATGATGAGCTTCAGAAAACTGCAGCAGAAAAGATGATAGATAAGTCAAGTTGTTTAAGTAACCCAATATCATTGTGGTTTAAGCCATATAAAGCCATCAAGGCTTTAAAATTTTAAAAGTTCTATTGTCCAGGGTGGTGCCTGTGGTTAAAAGGAGTAGGGCGCTGACCCCATATGCTGGAGGTGGTGGGTTCAAACCCAACCCCAGCCAAAAGCTGCCAAAAAAAAAAAGTTCTATTGTCCAAACCACACAGTTTTGCCTAGTAGGCACCAGACTAAGATTAGTACAAGAATTACAAACTATTTTAGAGTCTTCCTTGAGGAATCCTCTGGTTATCAGCTTCACAATTGCCATTACTTTATAAGGAAGTTTTGGTATGAAATACCAAACAGCTCACTATCTACTTTCTTACGTAAAAATATTTACTCAAAGCTATTCACAAGCTTTTGAAACTTTCTGAAATGAGTCCACTACACATCCCAGACAAGACTGTTATCAATGGCTCGGCGCC